TGCTCCCAGTGCTCCCAGTTTGCCGTACCAGTTCCCCCAGTATCCCATCCCAGTATCCTGTCCCAGTTCCCCCCGTATCCCATCCCAGTTCCCCCAGTATCCCATCCCAGTGCTCCCAGTGCTCCCAGTTCCCCCAGTATCCCATCCCAGTGCTCCCAGTGCTCCCAGTTCCCACCGTATCCCATCCCAGTGCTCCCAGTATCCCAGCCCAGTCCCCCCAGTGTCCCAGCCCAGTGCTCCCAGTATCTCGTCCCAGTTCCCCCAGTATCCCATCCCAGTGCTCCCAGTGCTCCCAGTGCTCCCAGTTTGCCGTCCCAGTTCCCCCAGTATCCCATCCCAGTTCCCCCAGTATCCCATCCCAGTTCCCCCAGTATCCCATCCCAGTCCCCCCAGTGTCCCATCCCAGTGCTCCCAGTATCCCATCCCAGTTCCCCCAGTGTCCCATCCCAGTGCTCCCAGTGCCCCCAGTATCCCATCCCAGTGCTCCCAGTTTGCCGTCTCAGTTCCCCCAGTATCCCATCCCAGTTCCCCCAGTATCCCATCCCAGTGCTCCCAGTGCTCCCAGTTCCCCCAGTACCCTGTCCCAGTGTTCCCAGTGCTCCCAGTTTGTCGTCCCAGTGCTCCCAGTTTGCCGTACCAGTTCCCCGGCCAGCAGCAGCCCCCGGGGGGTTCTCAGCACCCCCAGGTCGAAAACCCCCGGCGCCTCCGGCTGCCCCATGGGGGGGGGGTCCTGGGGGGGTCTCGGGGGGATTTGGGGGGTCCTGAGGGGTTTGGGGGGGTCCTGGGAGGGGCTTGAGGGGGTTTTGGGGGGGCTCAAGGGGGATTCAAGGGGTTCTGGGGAGTCCTGGTGGGGGCTTGAGGAGGTTTTGGGGGGGCTCGAGGGGGATTTGGGGGGGTCCTGGAGGGATTTGGGGGTCCTGGGGGGAGTTTTGGGGGGATTTGGGGGTGCTGGGGTGGAGCCTGGGGGGATTTGAGGGGATTTTGGGGGGTCCTGAGGGGGTTTGGGGGGGTCCTGGGGGGGATTTGGGGGGTCCTGGGAGGGATTGGGGGGGGGTCCTGAGGGGTTTGGGGGGTCCTGGTGGGGGCTTGAGGGGGTTTTGGGGGGGCTCAAGGGGGATTTAGGGGGTCCTGGAGGGATTTGGGGGTCCTGGGGGGAGTTTTGGGGGGATTTGGGGGTGCTGGGGTGGAGCCTGGGGAGATTTGAGGGGGTTTTGGGGGGTCCTGAGGGGGTTTGGGGGGGGCTCAAGGCGTTATGGGGGGTCCTAGGGGGGGGTTCTGGAGGGGTCTTAGGGGGGGTTTAGGGGTTCCTGGGCGGGGCTGGGGGGAATTTAGGGGGTCCGGGGGAAGCTCGAGGGGTTTTGAGGGGGTTTTGGGGGGGATCTGGGGGTGCTGGGAGGGGCTGGGGGCGATCTGGGGGGATCCGGGGAGGTTCTGGGGGGGCTCAGAGGGGTTTGGGGGGGATTTGGGGTGGCTTGAGGGGTCCTGGGTGGGATTTGGGGGGTCCTGGGGGAGGCTCGAGGGGTTTTGGGGGATCTTGGGGGGTTTTGGGGGTTCTGGGGGGGTCCCAGAGGGGGTTTTGGGGGGTCCTGGGGGGTTCTGGGGGTCCCTGAGGGGTTTTTGGGGTCTCTGGGGCTGGGGGAGGGGCAGAGGGGGTCACGTGGGTGTTCCCCACCCCCACACCCCCCCCCTCCCGTGACAGGCACCGGCGGGACCGGGACAAAGGGACCTTGTTGGGGACACTGGGAGGGACTGGGAGGGCACTGGGGGGGACTGGGATGGACTGGGAGGGACTGGGAGGGAAATGGGAGGGACTGGGAGGGAAATGAGAGCTGAGAGGACATACTGGGATTGACTGGGAGTTACTGGGAGGATATACTGGGAGCTGAGAGGACATACTGGGATATACTGGGAAGGACTGGGATATACTGGGAGGGACTGGGAGCAGTCGGGGGTCTCCCCAGTCCCCCCCAGTCTCTCCCAGTCCCCCCCAGTCCCTCCCGGTTCCCTCCCAATCCATCCCAGTCACTCCCAGTCCCCCCCAGTCCATCCCAGTCCCTCCCAGTTCCCTCCCAGCTCCCTCCCAGTCCCTCCCAGTTCCCTCCCAGTTCATCCCAGTTCCCCCCCAGTCCCTCCCAGTCCCTCCCAGTTCCCTCCCAGTCCATCCCAGTCACTCCCAGTCCATCCCAGTTCATCCCAGTCCATTCCAGTTCCCCCCTAGTTTCCCCCCCAGTCCATCCCAGTTTGGTCCCAGTCCCTCCCTCCCAGTTGTGGGGGGTGGGGGAGGGGGACACCCTAAAAATACCCGGGGGGGGTGGGGGAGGGGCTGGCCCGGGGCCCGAGCGCGGCTAAAAATAGCCCGGGGGCGGTCACGTGACTCCGGGGGGGGGGGAGGGGAGCGGCACCGGGACCCCGGAGGTAACGGGGGAGGGGACACGGGAGGGGACACCTGGGGACACCTGGGAACACCTGGGGTTGGGGACACCTGGGGTTGGGGACACCTGGGGACACTGGGCTGGGACTGGGGACACCTGGGGGGACACAGGGGGGACACAGGGCTGGGACTGGGGACACAGGGAGGGGACACAGAGGGGGACCCTGGGGACACCTGGGGACACTGGGCTGGGATTGGGGGCACCTGGAGGGGACACAGGGTTGGGGACACTGGGCTGGGACTGGGGACACCGGGAGGGGACACAGGGGGGCTGGGGGGACACGGACTGGGGACACCTGGGGGGACACAGGGGGGACACAGGGCTGGGATTGGGGACACAGTGAGGGGACACAGAAGGGGACCCTGGGGACACCTGGGGACACTGGGCTGGGATTGGGGACACCTGGGGGCACCTGGAGGGGACACAGGGTTGGGGACACTGGTCTGGGATTGGGACTGGGGACACTGGGGTGACACAGGACTGGGGACACCTGGAGGGGACACCTGGAGTTGGGGACACCTGGAGGGGACACCTGGGGGGGGACACAGGACTGGGGACACTGGGCTGGGATTGGGATTGGGATTGGGATTGGGATTGGGGACACTGGGGGAGACACACGGGACTGGGGACAACTGGGGACACCTGGAGGGGACACAGGACTGGGGACCTGGGGGACACTGGGGGGACATGTGGGGACACTGGGCTGGGGCTGGGGACACCTGGAGGGGACATGGCAGGGGGACACGGGATTGGGGACACCTGGGGGGACATGGGGCTGGGATTGGGGACACTTGGGGACACGGGGGGGGACACAGAGATTGGGGACACCTGGAGGGGACACCTGGGGACACTGGGCTGAGATTGGGGACACTTGGGGGGACACAGGGAGGGGACTGGGGACATCTGGGGGGGACATGGGGTTGGGGACATTGGGGGGACACATGACTGGGGTCTTGGGGACACAGGGGGGGACACACAGGATTAGGGACAGCTGAGGACACTGGGCTGGGACTGGGGACACCTGGGGACACCTGGAGGGGACGTGGTGGGGGACATGGGACTGGGGACACGGGGTTGGGGACACCTGGGGAGGACACGGGGTTGGAGACACCGAGGGGGACACTCGGGGGGGGACGCGTGGGGTTGGGGACACCGGGGGACACCAGAGGCAAGGAAATGGGGAGGGACTGGGGGGCTTGGGGACACTCGGGAGGACACGGGATTGGGGGACACTGGGGGGGTCTGTGAGTGACCCCAGGATTTGGGGTCAGGGTCCTGGAGGGGTCGGGGGTGGCTGCGAGTGACCCCAGGATGGGCTCAGGGTCATTGGGTGTGGCCGGAGGGTCCAGAGTGACCCCAGGATGGGCTCAGGGTCATTGGGTGTGGCCAGAGGGTCCAGAGTGACCCCAGGATGGGCTCAGGGTCATTGGGTGTGGCCAGGGGGTCTGCAGTGACCCCAGGACGGGCTCAGGGTCATTGGGTGTGGCCGGAGGGTCCAGAGTGACCCCAGGATGGGCTCAGGGTCATTGGGTGTGGCCAGAGGGTCCAGAGTGACCCCAGGATGGGCTCAGGGTCATTGGGTGTGGCCGGAGGGTCCAGAGTGACCCCAGGACGGGCTCAGGGTCATTGGGTGTGACCAGGGGGTCCAGAGTGACCCCAGGATGGGCTCAGGGTCATTGGGTGTGACCAGAGGGTCCAGAGTGACCCCAGGATGGGCTCAGGGTCATTGGGTGTGGCCGGAGGGTCCAGAGTGACCCCAGGATGGGCTCAGGGTCATTGGGTGTGGCCGGAGGGTCCAGAGTGACCCCAGGATTTGGGGTCAGGGTCATTGGGTGTGGCCGGAGGGTCCAGAGTGACCCCAGGACAGGCTCAGGGTCATTGGGTGTGGCTGGAGGGTCCAGAGTGACCCCAGGATGGGCTCAGGGTCATTGGGTGTGACCAGAGGGTCCAGAGTGACCCCAGGATTTGGGGTCAGGGTCATTGGGTGTGACCAGAGGGTCCGGAGTGACCCCAGGATGGGCTCAGGGTCATTGGGTTTGGCAGAGGGTCCAGAGTGACCCCAGGATGGGCTCAGGGTCATTGGGTGTGGCCGGAGGGTCCGGAGTGACCCCAGGACCAGGAGTGGGGACCCAGGACATGTCCGGGGTTTCCTGGGTGGGGCTGACCCCACTGCCCCTCCCCAATCCCTCACCAAGGAACCATTCCCATGTCCCCCAGTGTCCCCCAGTGTCCCCCAGTGTTCCCAGTGCCCCCAGTGTCCCCCAGTGTCCCCCAGTGTCCCCAGTATCCCCCGTGTCCCATTGCCCCCATTGTCCCCCATTGTCCCCAGTGTCCCCCATTGTCCCCCATTGTCCCCCATTGTCCCCAGTGTCCCCCAGTGTCCCCAGTATCCCCCAGTGTCCCCCAGTGTCCACAAGTATCCCCAGTGTCCCCTTTGTCCCCCAGTATCCCCAGTATCCCCCATTGTCCCCCAGTGTCCCCAGTGTCCCCATTGTCCCCATTGTCCCCATTGTCCCCCACTGTCCCCCAGTTTCCCCAGTATCCCCAGTGTCCCACACCGCTCCCACCATGGCCGCCCTGACCCTGACCCTCCTGGCGATGACCGCAATGGCCACAGCGACCACGGCCGCCGCCGGCGTCCCCTCCGGTGGCCCCAGTGCCACCCCCGCCGTGGTGGCGGTCACCCTGGACATGGCTCCGGCCGCCTTCGATGACCAGTACCGGGGCTGCGGCCGCGCCATGGCCGCGGCATTGCCGGCCCTCAACCGCTCCGAGCTGCGGCGCGGCGGCCCCTGGGCCGAGGCCTGGGCTCTGGCCGCTGCCCAGTGGCGTGGCCGGCCGGCCCCGCCGGCCCCTGCGTCCCCTCTGTCCCCGGACCAGGCCATCGCCCTCATGGCCTACACGGCGCCGCTGCCCTTGCACCGCGAGTTCAACGAGGCCGTGCGCCAGGCCGGGCGCTCCCGCCGGGAGTACCGCGACAACTTCCACTTCAAAACGCTGCATTTCCTGCTCACCCAGGTGGGAAAACACCAAAAACCAATCGGTTTTGAAGATGTTAAAAGTTTAATAATGGTAATGAAATGGTTCTAAATATAGGAATGTAATTAGAGAGATAAAAATTGGGATGATTGGGATTTAGGACAAAACGAGACAATAAAAACAAAGAGTTAAGGATGGTCTGGTTTGGGTTGGGGTTACGATTCATAAATGATTACGAGTCATTTATGAAATGCGTGAATATGCAAAGTTATTATAATTAAGGGTTAATCCTCTGTTAACCTGGGTCCTTTTTTGGACCCTAAGCCTAAGCCTAACCCTGACCCAACTTCCACTTCAAAACGCTGCATTTCCTGCTCACCCAGGTGGGAAAAACGCCAAAAATCGTTCGGGCTAAACTTTTAATAATGGTAATTAAAGGGTGGTAAGAATAGGAATGTAATTAGAGTGATAAAAATTTGGGAAGAGGTACCCAGACCATACTTAACACTTTGTTCTCATTGTCTCATTTTGTCCTAAATCCCAATTACCCAAATTTTTATCTCTCTAATTACATTCCTACATTTACAACCATTCCATCACTGTTATTGAAATTTAGAAATTTTCAAAGCATGTGATTGTGGTTTTTCACAACCCTGACCAGACAGGAGTCTGGTCCTAACCCTGACCCAACATCCACTTCAAAACGCTGCATTTCCTGCTCACCCAGGTGGGAAAACGCCCAAAATCGCTCGGTTTTAAAAATGTTAAAAGTTTAATATTGGTAATGAAATGGTGGTAAGAATAGGAATGTAATTAGAGAGATAAAAATTGGGATGATTGGGATTTAGGACAAAACGAGACAATAAAAACAAAGAGTTAAGGATGGTCTGGTTTGGGTTGGGGTTACGATTCATAAAGGATTACGAATCATTTATGAAATGCATGAATATGCAAAGTTATTATAATTAAGGGTTAATCCTCTGTCAACCTGGGTCCTTTTTTGGACCCCAACCCTGACCCTAACCCTGACCCAACTTCCACTTCAAAACGCTGCAATTCCTGCTCACCCAGGTGGGAAAACGCCAAAACCACTCGGGCTAAACATTTAATAATGGTAATTAAAGGGTGGTAAGAATAGGAATGTAATTAGAGTGATAAAAATTTGGGAAGAGTTACCCAGACCATACTTAACACTTTGTTCTCATTGTCTCATTTTGTCCTAAATCCCAATTACCCAAATTTTTATCACTCTAATTGTATTCCTATATTTAGAACCATTTCATTACCATTATTAAACTTTTAACATTTCAAAACCGAGTGATTTTTGGCATTTTTCTTCACACTGGACTGGACAGAGCCCTGTGTTTGAATGGAATTTATGTATCATGTATAAAATGCATGAATATGCAAAATTATTTTTAAGGGTCAATCGTCTGTTAACTTGGGTCCTTTTTTGGACCCTAATCTTAATCCTAACCCTAACCCTAACCCAAACCAGACCATCCTTAACTCTTTGTTTTTATTGTCCTGTTTTGTCCTAAATCCCAATTATCCAAATTTTTATCTCTCTAATTACATTCCTACATTTACAACCATTCCATCACTGTTATTAAAATTTAGAAATTTTCAAAGCAAGTGATTGTGGTTTTTCACAACCCTGACCAGACAGGAGTCTGGTCCCAACCCTGACCCAACTTCCACTACAAAACGCTGCATTTCCTGCTCACCCAGGTGGGAAAACGCCCAAAAACGCTTGGTTTTAAAAATGTTAAAAGTATAATATTGTTAATGAAATGGTTGTAAATGTAGGAATGCAATTAGAGTGATAAAAAATTTGGGAAGAGGTACCCAGACCATTCTTAACACTTTGTTTTTATTGTCCCGTTTTGTCCTAAATCCCAATTATCCAAATTTTTATCTCTCTAATTACATTCCTACATTTACAACCATTTCACCACTGTTATTGAAATTTAGAAATTTTCAAAGCAAGTGATTGTGGTTTTTCACAACCCTGACCAGACAGAATCATTTTTTTCGATGGAATTTATGAATCATTTATGAAATGCATGAATATGCAAAGTTATTATAATTAAGGGTTAATCCTTGGTTAACCTGAGTCCTTTTTTGGACCCTAAGTCTAAGCCTAAGCTGAACCCAACTTCCACTTCAAAACGCTGCATTTCCTGCTCACCCAGGTGGGAAAAATGCCAAAAATTTTTGAAAATTTAAAAATTTTTAAATATTTAAAAATTTTTCTAAGTATAGGAATATAATTAGAGAGATAAAAATTTGGATGATTGGGATTTAGGACAAAACGAGACAATAAAAACAAAGAGTTAAGGATGGTCTGGTTTGGGTTAGGGTTAGATTTAAGATTAGGTTCTAAAAAAGGACCCAAGTTAACACAGGATTGACCCTTAAAAATAATAATTTTGCATATTCATGCATTTTATACATGATGCATAAATTCCATTCAAACACAGGGCTCTGTCTGCTCAGTGTGATGAAAAATGCCAAAAATCAGTCGCTTTTTAAAATTTAAAAAGTTGAATAGTAATAAAATAGCTATAAAAATAGGAATTTTTAATATTTGTGAAAAGGCAGCCGTAAAATTCGCATTTTTCACACAACATTACTTTCTGCTGTAACATATATAATATTAATGTGAATATTTGAGATAAGCCAATGATAAAATTCACATTTTTCACATAACTTTCCAACATAACATATATAATATTAATGTGAATATTTGATATATTTGCCAAAGATAAAATCCCCATTTTTCACATAACTGTCTACCATAACACATCCAATATTAATGTGAATATTTGAGATAAGCCAATCATGAAATTCCCATTTTTCACATAACTTTCTACCATAACACATCCAATAATAACTTGAATATTTGAGATAATTCCCATTTTTCACACAGCATCACTTTCTAACCATAACACGTAACACATCTAATAATAATGTGAATATTTGAGATATAAGCCAATAATAAATTCCCATTTGTCACATAACTTTCCAACATAACATATATAATATTCATTTGAATATTTGAGATAAGCCAATCATAAAATTCCCATTTTTCACATAACTGTCTACCATAACACATCCAATATTAATGTGAATATTTGATATATTTGCCAATGATAAAATCCCCATTTTTTACATAACTGTCTACCATAACACATCTAACACTAATGTGAATATTTGATATATTTGCCAATGATAAAATCCCCATTTTTCACATAACTGTCTACCATAACACATCTAACACTAATGTGAATATTTGTGTATAAGCCAATGATAAAATCCCCATTTTTCACATAACTTTCTACCATAACACATCCAATATTAACTTGAATATTTGAGATAATTTCCATTTTTCACACAGCATCACTTTCTAACCATAACACATAACACATATAATACTAATGTGAATATTTGCGATATAAGCCAATGATAAAATCCCCATTTTTCACATAACTTTCCAACATAACATGTATAATATTAATGTGAATATTTGCGATAAGAGCCAATGATAAAATTCCCATTTTTCACATAACTGTCTACCATAACACATCCAATATTAACTTGAATATTTGCCAAAAGCCAATAATAAAATTCCCATTTTTCACATAACTGTCTACCATAACATATATAATATTGATGTGAATATGTGCGATATTTGCCAATGATACAATTCCCATTTTCCACATAACTGTCTACCATAACATATATAATATTAATGTGAATCTTTGCGATCTAAGCCAATGATAAAATTCCCATTTTTCACATGACTGTCTACCATAACACATCTAATATTGATGTGAATATTTGCGATATTTGCCAATGATAAAATTCCCATTTTTCACATAACTGTCTACCATAACACATCTAATATTATTGCGAATATTTGAGATATAAGCCAATGATAAAACCCCCGTTATTCAAATAACTGTCTACCATAACACATATAACATTAATGTGAATATTTGATATATTTGCCAATGATAAAATCCCCATTTTTCACATAACTGTCTACCATAACATATATAATATTAATGTGAATATTTGCGATGTAAGCCAATGATAAAATTCCCATTTGTCACATAACTTTCCAACATAACACATATAACATTAATGCGAATATTTGATATATTTGCCAATGATAAAACCCCCATTTTTCACATAACTGTCTACCATAACACATATAACATTAATGTGAATATTTGATATATTTGCCAATGATAAAATTCCCATTTTTCCCCTAACTGTCTACCATAACACATATAACATTAACGTGAATATTTGCGATGTAAGCCAGTGATAAACCCCGTTTTCCCCGCAGGCCGTGGCGGCGCTGCGCGGCTCCGTGTCCCCGCGGTGTCTGCGCGTGTTCCGCGGGGTGCGCGGCGTTCGCTTCGCGGCGCGGCGCGGGGACTCCGTGCGCTTCGGCCACTTCGCGTCGGCCTCGCTGCGCAACGAGAGCTCCTGGGGCTTCGGCACGGACGCGGCCTTCCAGGTGCTCACCTGCCAGGGCGCGGCCGTCCGCGAGTTCTCCTTCTTCCCGCACGAGGAGGAGGTGCTGATCCCGCCCTTCGAGACCTTCGAGGTCACCGATGTCACCAACGTCACCAAGGACGGGGACAAGGCGCGGATCCAGCTGCGCTCCACCGGGACCTTCAGCAACTACAACTGCGAGTGGCTGCGAGGTGACGGCGCGGGGGGACGGTGCCGGGGGACGGGGACACTCGGGGAGGGTGAGGGGACAGGGACACACGGCACTGGGGACAGGGACACACAGCACTGGGGACATCCACCGTGGGGACAGGGACAAGGACACTCCCTTTGGGCATGGGGACAAGGACACTCGGTGAGGGTGTGGGGACAGGGACACACAGTGCTGGGGACAAGGACAGGGACACCCCATGCTGGGGACAGGGATGGGGACCCTCACACCTGGGACGGGACAGGGACAGGGGGACAGGGACAGGGACAGGGACAGGGACAGGGACAGGGACAGGGCCACCCCAGCACTGACACTGTCCCTGCCCTCACAGAGCAGCGCTGTGGGGACGGGCCCTGTGTGTTTGACACGGGTGAGCTGGGACCCCCCCCTTGTCACCTCCTGTCACCTGCTGTCGCCCCCCTGGCACTGCCATCCCCTCTGTCACCTCCTGTCACCTCCTGTCGCCCCCCTGGCACTGCCATCCCCTCTGTCACCTCCTGTCACCTCCTGTCGCCCCCCCTGGCACTGCCATCCCCTCTGTCACCTCCTGTCACCTCCTGTCGCCCCCCTGGCACTGCCATCCCCTCTGTCACCCCTGCCACCCCTCCCTGTCCCTCTTTGTCCCCCAGGCTGGAGCATCCCCAGGACCCCTCCCCACCTCAGGGGGCTCCTCGTGGCCACCACAGCCCTGGCAGTGGCCACCGGAACCTTCTGAGCCACGAGGCCACCAAGGCCACCAAGGTCACCATGGTCACCATGGTCACCAAGGCCACCAAGATCACGAAGGACATCAAAGACACCAGATGTCCTGAGCAACAAGGCCACCAAGGCCACCATGGTCACTGAGGTCACCATGGCCACCACGGTCACCAAGGACACCATGGTAACCAAGGTCACCAAGGCCACCATGGCCACCACGGTCACCAAGGACACCATGGTCACCAAGGTCACCATGGCCACCAAGGCCACCAAGGACACCATGGTCACCATGGCCACCAAGGACACCAGGACCTTCTGAGCAACAAAGCCACCATGGTCACCAAGGCCACCATGGCTACCAAGGTCACCAAGGCCACTATGGCCACCAGGGACACCAGGACCTTCTGAGCAACAAGGCCACCAAGATCGCCATGGTCACGATGGCCACCAAGGTCACCAAGGACACCATGGTCACCATGGTCACTGTGGTCATGATGGCCACCAAGGCCACCACGGTCGCCATGGCCACCGAGGCCACCATGGCCACCAAGGCCACCATGGTCACCATGGTCACCAAAGTCACTCTGGTCATGATGGCCACAGAGGACACCAGGACCTTCTGAGCAACAAGGCCACCAAGGCCACCAAGGTCACCATGGTCACCAAGGTCACTTAGATCACCATGGCCACCAAAGACACCAGGACCCCCTGAGCCACAAGGCCACCATGTGGCCACCACTATCACCATGGTCACCATGGTCACCAAGGCCACCAAGGCCACCAGGACCCCCTGAGCCACAAGGCCACCATGTGGCCACCACTGTCACCACGGTCACCATGGTCACCAAGGCCACCATGGTCACCATGGCCACCAAGGCCACCATGGTCACTGAGGTCACCATGGCCACCATGGTCACCAAGGCCACCAAGGCCACCAGGACCTTCTGAGCAACAAGGCCACCAAGGCCACCATGGTCACTGAGGTCACCATGGCCACCACGGTCACCAAGGACACCATGGTCACCAAGGTCACCAAGGCCATCATGGCCACCAAGGCCACCGAGGTCACCATGGTCACCAAGGCCACCATGGCCGCCAAGGCCAGGATAAGGGGACAATGACAGGGCCACCGCTGCCACCAGGACAGGAGGACCTTGGACGTGTCATGGCCGCCACTCTTGACCTTTTGGGAAATTTTCTGTCCCTTTCCAGAAATTTCCATTTTCCTGCCGGATTTCATTAAACTGGATTTGCCTCAGTCCTCGAAGTGTCTCTGACTTTAACTCATTTTGAAGCCCAGTTTAGGGGATTTAGGCCCAAATTAGGAGATTTAGGCCCGGTTTAGGGGATTTAGATCTGAATTAAGGGATTTAGGCCTGGTTTAAGGGATTTAGACCCAAATTTAGGGATTTAGACCCAATTTAGGGCATTTAGACCCAAATTAAGGCATTTAGGCCTGGTTTAGGACATTTAGATCCAAATTAAATTATTTAGGCCCCGTTTAGGGGATTTAGATCTGAATTAAGGCATTTAGGTCCGGTTTAGGGGATTTAGACCCAAATTAACGGAGTTAGGTCTCTCTTAGGGGATCTCAACCTGAATTAAGGGATTTCAACCTGAATGAATGGGGTTAGGCCTGATTTAAGGGATTTCAACCAGAATTAAGGGATTTCAACCAGAATTAAGGGATTTCAACCTGAGTTAACAGAGTTAGGCCTGGGCTAGGGTAATTTCAGCCAGAATTTAGGGATTTCAACCTGGATTAACAGAGTTAGGCCTGGTTTAAGGGCTTTCAACCAGAATTAAGAGATTTCAACTGGAATTAAGAGATTTCAACCTGGATTAACAGAGTTAGGCCTGGGTTAGGGGATTTCAACCAGAATTAAGGGATTTCAACTCAAATTAAGAGATTTCAACCTGGATTAACAGGGTTAGGCCTGGTTTAAGGGATTTCAGCCAGAATTAAGATATTTCAACCTGAATTAACAGAGTTAGGCCTGGTTTAGGGGATCTTAACCCGAATTAAGGGATTTAAACCAGAATTAAGGGATTTCAACCCAAACCAAGGGATTTAAACCAGAATTTAGGGGTGGATCCCATCCCCCCCGAACGTCCCCTCTGTCCCCTTGTCACCAGGTGTCCCCTCCGAGGCCGCGTCACCGGGAGGTTCAGGGTTAATTAATTACCCCTAATTAGGCTGGCGGTGACGTTGGGCGGGTGTGACAAGGTCGAGGCGCTGGTGGCACTTCCTGGTGCCACCTCGGCGTGCCAGGGGACAAAGTCCCGTCCCCCTGTCCCCGTGGGACCGGCTGGGCTGGGCCGGGGCCGGACTTGGGACACTGGGAGGGGACGTGGGGACAGCGGGATGGACGGACAGACGGACATGGGGATGCTGGGATGGACGGACAGACAGACATGGGGACACTGCAATAGATGGACATGGGGACATGAGAACATGGGGACAGCGGGATGGACGGACAGATGGACATGGGGACACTGCAATAGATGGACATGGGGACATGAGAACATGGGGACAGCGGGATGGACGGACAGATGGACATGGGGACACTGGGATAGATGGACAGACGGACATGGGGACATGGGGATGGACATGGGGGCAGTGGAATGGACAGACAGAGGGACATGAGGACAGTGGGATGGATGGACATGGGGACACTGGGATAGATGGACATGGGGACATGAGAACATGGAGACACTGGGATGGACGGACAGACGGACATGGAGACACGGGGATGGATGGACAGACAGACATGGGGACAGTGGGATGGACATGGGGACACAGGGATGAATGGACAGACAGACATGGGGACAGTGGGATGGACATGGGGACATGGGGACACTGGGATGGACAGACATGGGGACGCGGGGACAGACAGACACTGGGGCACTGGGACACTGGGATGGGCAGACATGGGGATGTCACAGGTGTCACGGGGTGTCATGACATGTCACAGCATGTCACAGCATGTCACAACATGTCACATCACGCCCTGGCTCAGGGTGACACAGCACAGTGGGACCACGGCCTCACCACTCACTGGTGTCCCAGGGCCACCGTGTCCCCGTGTCCCTGTGTCCCCATGTCCCTGTGTCCATCTCAGTGTCCCCATGTCCCCTTGTCCCCATGTCCTCATGTCCCCGTGTCCATCTCAGTGTCCCCGTGTCCCTGTGTCCTCGTGTCCCTGTGTCTATCTCGGTGTCCCCATGTCCCCATGTCCCCATGTCCATCCTGGTGTCCCCATGTCCCCATGTCCCTGTGTCCCCATGTCCCTGTGTCCCCGTGTCCCTGTGTCCGTCCGTCCCAGCGTCCCCAAGTCCATCCAAGCCCATCCATCCCCAGTGTCACCTGTGTCCATCTCAGTGTCCCTGTGTCTGTCTGTCCCCGTGTCCCCAGCACCCACAGGTGACACCCACAGGTGTCCCCAGCACCCACAGGTGACACTGGCACCCCGGGGTGCAGCCGTGTATCCCTGCTGGAGCCGAGGGAGTGGCCCTGGGTGACACAGGTGACACCGGTGACACAGGTGACACCGCCTCGGGCCGTGTGGAGAGAGGGGGTGGCCCTGGGGACAAACTCCAGCCTGGCAGCGTGGTACGGAGTGGCACAGGTGACACAGGTGACACAGGTGACACAGGTGACATGGAGTGGCACAGGTGGCACAGAGTGGCATGGAGTGGCACAGGTGACACAGGTGACACAGGTGCCAGGACAGCGCCTGGGGGGACACGGGGGTCCCTGATGCCACCGGCGGTGCCCAGGAAAGTGCCACAGGTGCCGCCTGTGTTGTGTCACGCGTGTGCCACCTGTGACATCCTGTGTGTGCCACGCGTGTGCCACAATGTCACACCTGTGTCACCTGGGCCACCTGTGCCATGTCCTTGTCCTGGGGAGGCTGTGGGGACAGCCCAGCACCCAAAGGTGACACTGGGGTCCCACAGGTGACACTGGGGTCCCACAGGTGACATCAGCACCCAGAGGTGGCCCCAGCCCCGCAGCACCTGGGGGTGTCCCTGTCCCTCTGTCTCCCTATCCCCCTGTCCCTGATGTGTCCTAGCTGTCCTGGGGGTGTCCCAGGGGTGTCCCAGGTGTGTCCTAAGTGTCCAAAGAATGTCCCAGGTGTGTTTCAGAGGTGCTCTAGGTGTGTCCCAGGGGTGTCCCTGGGTGTCCTGGGGGTGTCCCAGTAATGTCCCAGGTGTCCTGGAGGTGTCCCAGGGGTGTCCCTGGGGTGTCCCAGGTGTGTTTCAGGTGCCCCTGGTGTGTCCCAGGGGTGTCTCAATAATGTCCCAGGTGTGTCCCAGGTGTCTTGGAGGTGTCCCAGGGGTGTCCCAAGAATGTCCCTGGTGTCTCAGGTGTGTCCCAGGTGTGTCCTGGGGTGTCCCAGGTGTGCTGGGGGTGTCCCAGGTGTGTCCTAGGTGTCCTGGGGATGTCCCAGGTATGTCCCTGGTGTCTCAGGTGTGTCCCAGGTGTGTCCTGGGGGTGTCTCAGGTGTGTCCTGGGGGTGTCCCAGGTGTCCCAGGTGTGTCCCGGCTATCCCGGGGGTGTCCCTGGTGTCCTGGGGGTATCTCAGGTGTGTCCCAGGTGTGTCCCGGCTGTCCCGGGGGTGTCCCTGGTGTGTCCCAGGTGTCCTGGGGGTGTCTCAGGTGTGTCCCAGGTGTGTCCCGGCTGTCCCGGGGGTGTCCCTGGTGTGTCCCAGGTGTCCTGGGGGTATCTCAGGTGTGTCCTGGGGGTGTCCCAGGTGTCCCAGCTGTGTCCCAGGTGTGTCCCGGCTGTCCCGGGGGTGTCCCGGGGGTGTCCCGGGGGTGTCCCACAGCTGTCCCCGTTGTGGCGGTGCGGTGGCGGGTGCGGGCCGGGCCCCGCGGGGTGAATGAATCGTTAACCCGGGCCAATCTCAGCCCGGGCCAATCAGGGCCTCTGCCCCGGGCGGGTTTTACAGCCCCGCTGTCCCCACGGTGTCCCCACGGCCACCAGCGCTGTCACCCTCAGTGCCACCACCGCCACCGCCGCCGCCGCCGCCGCCGCCTCGCCATGCGCTGGCCCTGGCTGCTGTCGCAGCTGTCGCTGCTGCTGTCGCTGCTGTCGCTGCTGTCGCTGCCCTTCGCGCTGGCCCTGCCCGCGGCGGCCCCGAGCCGCGGTGGCCCCGGGGTGGCCCTGGTGGCGCTGGAGGCGCTGGTGGCGTCGGGCGAGGGACAATTGTCCCTTGCGGAGCTGGGGGCCCTCGTGGCGCAGGCGGGCGGCCGTGCGCAGTGCCCGCGCGAGCCGTGCGGAGAGGTGAGACCGCGCCCGCCGCGACAGCGACAGCGACAGCGACAGCCACAGCGACAGCGAGGGGACAAAGGGCGGCGGGCACCGCGCGGGGGGGGAGGGAGGGAGGGGGGACGGGGGGAGGGGGACAGGGCGCTGTGTGTGTGTGTGTGTCACCTGTGTGTCACCTGTGTGTCACCTGTGTCACCTGTGCTGTGTGTGTCACCTGTGTCACCTGTGCTGTGTGTGGCAGGTCATGGGCACCAAGTGTTCTGAGTGTGCCGTGTGCACCGTGTGTGTCACCTGTGCCACCTGTGCCGTGTGTGTCACCTGTGCCACCTCTTGTCTGTGTGTTACCTGTACTGTATGTGTCACCTGTGCTGTGTGTGTCACCTGTGCTGTGTGTGTCACCTGTGCCGTGTGTGTCACCTGTGCCACCTCTCCTCTGTGTGCCACCTGTGCTGTGTCACCTGTGCCGTGTGTGTCACCTGTGCCACCTCTTGTCTGTGTGTTACCTGTACTGTATGTGCCACCTGTGCTGTGTGTGTCACCTGTGCCGTGTGTGTCACCTGTGCCACCTCTCCTCTGTGTGCCACCTGTGCTGTGTCACCTGTGCCGTGTGTGGCAGGCCACGGGCACCACGTGTTCTGACTGTGCCGTGTGCACCGTGTGTGTCACCTGTGCCACCTGTGCCACCTGTGCTGTGTGTGCCAGGCCATTTGTGACATGTCACAGTGTGTCACCTGTCCTGTGTGTGCCACTTGTCCTCTGTGTGTTCACCTGTGCCGTGTGTGCCTTGTATGCCACCTGTGCCAGGCCACTTGTGGCAAGTCACAGTGTGTCACCTGAGCTGTGTCACCTGTGCCACCTGTGCCACCTGTGCTGTGTCACCTGTGCCACCGGTGCTGTGTGTGCCAGGCCATTTGTGCCATGTCACAGTGTGTCACCTGAGTTGTGTCACCTGTGCCATATGTGGCAGGTCATGGGCGCCACGTGTTCTGCGTGTGCCGTGTACACCGTGTGTGCCACCTGTGCCACCTGTGCCACCTGTGCTCTGTGTGTGCCGTGTGTGCCCCCTGTCCTATGTGTGCCACCTGTGCCGTGTGTGCCAGGCCATTTGTGCCATGTCACAGTGTGCCACCTGTCCTGTGTGTGCTGCGTGTCACCTGTGCTGTGCCACCTGTGCTGTGTGTGCCACCTGTGCTCTGTGTGCCACCTGTGCTGTGTGTGCCACCTGTGCTGTGCCACCTGTGCTGTGCCACCTGTGCTGTGCGTGCCACGTCTCCCTGTGACCTTTGTCCCTTCCTGTCCCCTCTCTCCCCTGAGGCTGTCCCCTGTCCCCTTGTCCCCCCCATCCTTTGTCACCCTCTGATGCCCTCCCCATGTCCCCCTGTCCCCCTTGTCCCCCCTGTCCCCCCTGACACTGTCCCACATCCCCCTGTCCCTCCTGTCCCTTGTACCTTGTCCCTGCTATCCCACATCCCCCTGTCCCTCCCTGTCCCCCCGATGCTGTCCCCATGCCCCCCTGTCCCCTGTCCCCCTGACGCTGTCCCTGTCCCCCGTGCCACCCTGTCCCCTGTCTCTCTGTCCCCCCCTGTCCCCCCCGTCCCCCCTGACGCTGTCCCTGTCCCCGCAGTGTCCCTCGGTGCCAGCGCTGCTGGCCCTGGCTGGGAAGGCCCCGGGTGGCACCGCCGGGCTCGAGGCCACCGAGCTGTCCTGGCTGGGGGCGGCTGTGGTGGCCACGCTCAGGGACCCCCCTGATGCCACCTGTGGGGACATCGGCGGGGACACCAATGGGGACATCCATGGGGACATCGGCGGGGACACCAATGGTGACACCAACGGGGACATCCATGGGGACATCCATGGGGACACCAAGGCCACTGCAGGGTCCTGGGCCAGCCATGTCCGTGCCCTGCACCGGGAGTTTGTCACCGATGCCACCGATGTCACCGGTAATGTCACCGTCACTGCCACCAGCCACGGTGGCCCCAGGCTGCGGGAGGTGGCCGAGCTGCTGGCGGCCATCGAGCCCAACTACCGCAGTGACAGCGGCCACCAGGTGAGGGGACATGGGGACATGGGGGGCGTGCAGGGACAGGGGACACAAGGGACAGGGGATGTGTGAGGGTCGGGGGGATGTGGGGACATGGGGACACAGGGGGACATGGGGGGACACAAGGGACAGGGGACATGAGGGTGGCATGGGGACATGGGGGACACAAGGACATGGGAATATGGGGACACGGGGACACGAGAGATGTGGAGGGATGGGGACACAAGGAACAGGGGACATGTGAGGTTCTGAGGGGACATGGGGGGATATGGGGATATGGGGACACGAGGGGACACAGGGGGACACAGGGAACAAGGGGGCACAGGGGGTCACAAGGACATGGGGACATGGGGGGACACAGGGGGGACATGGGGACATGAGGGTGGCACGGGGAACAAGGGGACACAGGGGGACACGAGGGGACACAGGGGGACACAGGGGGACATGGGGAACAAGGGGGCACAGGGGGTCACAAGGACATGGGGACATGAGGGGACACAGGGGGACACAGGGGGCCACCAGGACATGGGGACATGGGGGGACACAGGGGGGACATGGGGACACGAGGGTGGCACGGGGAACAAGGGGACACAGGGGGACATGGGGACACAGGGCGTGGCCTGGGGAGGGGACAGGTGGCCTTGGGGCACCAAGAGGTGACAGAGCACAGCCACCTGTCCATGGGGACACTGTGCCATCAGGAGGTGACAAATGTCCCACTGTGCCCTGGGGAGGTGACACGGCTGTGACACCCCTGGTGCCGCGGTGGCAGCGTCCGGGAGCGGGAGGTGACACGGTGACGTTTGGGTGACCTGAGGGTGACACGGTGACATTTGGGTGTCACAGGCCTGCATGGACGCTCGGGGGGTGCTGGCGGCCGCCACCAGGATGTCCCCAAGGGTGGGGACAGGACGGGAGCTGGTGGCACTCGGGGTCCTGGTGCTGCGCGGCCACCGCCTCTGCCCTGGGGACAGCGGGGACAGCGGGGACACGGCCAGCGCCCGGTGTGGGGACAGCAGCTGGCACCTTGGGGACACCGGTGACATTGACACCCCCCATGGGAGCATGGGCACCTGGCACTGTGGGGACACCGGTGACATCAACGCCTCCCGTGGGGACATGGACAGCAGGCATGGTGACATTGGGAGCCACCTTGGGGACACGGACACCTGGCACGGGGACAGCCACCCCATCGAGAGCCAGCACGGCCCCACGGCCCCCAGCTCTGGGGACAGCGGTGACAATGTCACTGTCCCCACGGCCACCAACAGCACCGAGCATGAGGAGCAGCTCGGTGTCACCGAGAGTGAGTGGGGACAGGGTGGGGACAGGGACGGGGACAGGGATGGGGACACTGTACCCATGTCCCTGTCCCGTGACCCGTGTCCCCGTCCCTGTGTCCCTGTCCCATGTCCCTGTCCCCTGTCCCTGTCCCTGACCTGTGTCCCCTGTCCCTGTCCCTGTGTCCCCTGTCCCTGTACCCTGTCCCCTGTCCCTGTCCCCGGTCCCTGACCTGTGTCCCTGTCCCCTGTCCCTGACCTGTGTCCCCTGTCCCCTGTCTCCTGTCCCTGCCCCCTGTCCCTGATCCCTGTCCCTGTCCCTGACCCGTGTCCCTGTCCCCTGTCCCCGACCTGTGTCCCCTGTCCCTGTCCCTGTCCCGTGTCCCTGTCCCTGTCCCCTGTCCCCTGACCCCTGACCCCTGTCCCTGTCCCCTGTCCCCTGACCCCTGCCCCCTGTCCCCTGTCCCTGTCCCCTGTCCCTGTCCCTGTCCCTGACCCGTGTCCCCTGTCCCTGACCCGTGTCCCCTGTCCCTGTCCCCTGTCCCTGTCCCTGTCCCAGATCCCTGTCCCTGTCCCCTGTCCCTGTCCCTGACCTGTGTCCCTGTCCCTGACCTGTGTCCCTGTCCCTGTCCTTGTCCCAGATCCCTGTCCCCTGTCCCCTGTCCCTGTCCCTGACCCCTGTCCCCTGTCCCTGTCCCTGTCCCTGTCCCTGTCCCCTGTCCCTGACCTGTGTCCCTGTCCCCTGTCCCCTGTCCCCTGACCCCTGTCCCAGATCCCTGTCCCCTGTCCCTGTCCCCTGTCCCTGTCCCCTGTCCCCTGTCCCCTGTCCCCTGTCCCTGTCCCTGTCCCAGATCCCTGTCCCTGTCCCTGTCCCCTGTCCCTGACCCGTGTCCCCTGTCCCTGTCCCCTGTCCCTGTCCCTGTCCCTGTCCCTGTCCCCTGTCCCTGTCCCCTGTCCCTGTCCCCTGTCCCTGACCCGTGTCCCTGTCCCTGACCCGTGTCCCTGTCCCAGGGTACCTGCTGGGGACACTGACGGCGCTGGCGCTGGCGCTGGTGCCGCTGGTGGCGCTGGCCCTGGTGCTGTGTCCCCGCTGTCCCCTGTGCTCGCGCTGTCCCCACGGTGCCGGATGTCGCCGATGTCGCCCGTGTCGCCTGTGTCCCCCGCGCTGGTGGCGCCCCCTGCTGGACGGGCTGGCGGCCGGGGCGCTCAGCGGGGACGCGCTGCTGCACGTGCTGCCGGAGGTGGGGACAACGGGGACACTGGGGACATTGAGGGGACATGGGGGACACGGGGGACATCGGGGGGACAGCAGTGACATTGGGGATGTTGGGGACATTTGGGACACTGGGGACATCGGAGGGATTGGGGGGGGATTGGAGGCATTGGGGATGTTGGGGACATTGGGGACACTGGGGACATCCGGGGGACATTGGGGACACTGGGGACACTGGGGACATCGGGGGGAGCAGGAGCATCAGGGACATCAGCGACAGCACAGGGAAAGGGGACATTGGGGGACAGTGGGAACATTGGGGGCATTGGGGACATTGAGGGGACAGTGGGGACATCGGGAGGACATCGGGGGGACACTGGGGGAGACGTCGGGGACATTGGGGAGACCACAGGGACATTGGGGGACATTGAGGGGACACCGAAGACATTGGGGACACCGAGGGGACACTGAGGGGACATTGGGGGACGGGAGGACACCGAGGGGCACCGAGGGGATCCTGGTGACATCAGGGACATTGAGGGGACATCGGGGCGGCACAGGGGACATCGGAGGGGCACTGGGGGAAGGGGGTGGCACTGGGGGGGACATGGGGACACGGGAGGGACGGGAGGACACGGGGGGGACATTGGGGACACTGGGGGACATGGAGGGGACAGGGGCTGGGGGGATATGGGGGGGACACGGGGGGGGTGACACCGATGTCACCACGGGTCCCTCGTGTCCCCAACAGGCTCTGAGGGTGCACTCTGGGGGCACACAGGGGAGAGACACCGATGTCACCATGTGTCACCCTTGTCCCCAACAGGGGCTGGGGGTGCACAGCCACTCCGTGGGGGACACAGGGGGTGACACCGATGTCACCACGGGTCCCTCGGTGTCCCCGCAGGCTCTGGGGGTGCACTCCGGGGGGACACAGGGAGGTGGCACCGATGTCACCATGTGTCACTCTTGTCCCCGCAGGCTCTGGGGGTGCACAGCCCCTCTGGGGGGGGACACAGGGAGGTGGCACCGATGTCACCATGTGTCACTCTTGTCCCCAACAGGCTCTGGGGGTGCACAGCCACTCCGGGGGGGGACACAGGGAGGTGACACCGATGTCACCATGTGTCACTCTTGTCCCCGCAGGCTCTGGGGGTGCACAGCCACTCCGGGGGGGGACACAGGGAGGTGACACCGATGTCACCATGTGTCACTCTTGTCCCCGCAGGCGCTGGGGGTGCACAGCCACTCCGGGGGGGGACACAGGGAGGTGACACCGATGTCACCATGTGTCACTCTTGTCCCCGCAGGCGCTGGGGGTGCACAGCCACTCCGGGGGGGGACACTCGGAGCACGGCGGGGACACCCACAGCCCCCCCTGGGAGCTGCTGGCCGTGCTGGGGGGGCTCTACGGGGGCTTCGTCCTGGAGCGGCTGCTGGGGGGGCTGGGAGCGCCCCCCGAGGAGGTGGGGACACACTGGGGACACCGAGGGGACACTGGGGGACACTGGGGACATTGAGGACACTGGGGGGACATTGAGGGGACACTGGGGGGACACTGAGGGGACACTGGGGGGATTGAGGGATTGGGGACACTGGGGACACCGAGGGGACACTGGGGGGACACTGGGGGGACATTGGGGGGACACTGGGGGGACACTGGGGGGACATTGGGGGGATTGGGGACAGTGGGGATATTGAGGGACATGGGGGACAATGGGGACATTGGGGACACTGGGGACATTGGGGGACATTGTGGGGATTTGGGACAGTGGGGACACTGGGCGGACATTGGGGGGACATTGGGGACACTGGGCGGACATTGGGGGGACATTGGGGACACTGGGGGGACATTGAGGGGACACTGGGGGGATTGGGGGATTTGGGACATTGGGGACACTGGGGACACTGGGGGGACATTGGAGGGATTGGGGACATTGGGGACACTGGGGGGACATTGGGGGGACACTGGGAGGATTTGGGACATTGGGGGAACACTGGGGACACTGGGGAGACACTGGGGGGATTGAGGGATTGGGGACATTGGGGACACTGAGGGGACATTGGGGGGACACTGGGGGGATTGGGGACAGTGGGGACATTGGGGGGACATTGTGGGGATTGGGGGGGACATTGGGGGATGACATTGGGGACATTGGGGGGGCTGGGACCCCTTCCCCGGAGCAGGTGGGGATGGGGGGGGAGGGGAATTTGGGGGGTCTGGGGCGATGGGGACCCCCTCGAAGGGGGGGGGGGTGTGGGGGTGTTTGGGGGGACCCTGAGCCCCCCCCCAGGGATGGGGTGAAGATTTGGGGGGGGCTGTGGGGGGATTGCGGGATTTTGGGGGCGTTTTTGGGGTGGGGGGGTTCCCGAGCAGGTTGGGCTGGGGAGGGGATTTGGGGTTGAATGAGTCTGGGGGCGTCACCTGCTGATGGGGGGGGGGGGCGGTTTTGGGGTACAGAACCCCCTCCCCCCGCAGGTGAAGGATGGAGACCCCACCCCTGACCCCGCCCAGAGCACGCAGGAACTGACCAATCACGGTACGGCACCGAATTCACCCAAAACTCCCCAAATTCTGCCCCAAAATCCCACAAATCCCCCCCAAAAATTCCCCCAAATTCGGCCCTAAAACCCCCCAAAAACCTCCTCAAATTCTGCTCCAAGAACCCTCAAATTCCCCCCAAAAATCCCCCCAAATTCTGCACTAAACCCCCCCAAATTCTGCCCTAAAGCCCCCCAAATCCTCCCCCAAACCCCCCAAAAACTCCTCAAATTCTGCCCCAAAACTCCCCAAATCCCCCCAAAAATATCCTCCCAAATTCTGCCCTAAAGCTCCCTAAATCCCCCCAAAATTCCCTAAATTCTGTCCCCAGACTCCCCAAATTCTGCCGTAAACCCCCCCAAATCTACCTCAAAAATTCCCCCTAAATTCTGCCCCAAATCCCCCCAAACCTCCTCAAATCCCCCCAAAGCCCCCCAAAATCCCAACATTCTCCCCCAAACCTCCTCCAATCCCCCCAGAACTCCCCAAATTCTCCAAAAACTCCTCAAATCTCCCAAAACTCCCCAAATTTCCCCCAAAATTCCCCCCTGAAACTACTCAAATGCTGCCATAACTCCTTAAATTCCCCCCAAAGTCCTCAAATACCCCCAAAAGCCCCCAAATTCTGCCACAAACCCCCTCAAATCTCCCCAATTTTCCCCCAAGCCCCCCAAAACTCCCCAAATCCACCCCAAAACTCCTCAAATCCCCCAAAAATCTCCCTAAAACTCCCCGAATTCCCCCCAAGCTCCCCAAATCCTCCCAAGCCCCCAAACCTCCTCAAATCCCCCCAAAACTCCTGAAATCCCCCCAAATTCCCCTGAAACTCCCCCAAAACTCCTCAAATCCCCCAAACCTCCCCAAATTCTCTCAAAAAACTCCCCAATGTCCCCCAAATCTCCTCAAATCCCCCCGGACCTCCTCAAATCTCCCCAATCTTCCCCCAAAACTCCCCCCAAACTCCTCAAATCTCTCAAATTTTTCCCCCAAAACTCCTCCAATTCCCCCCAAATCTCCCCCAAATCCCTCCCTGAAACTCCTCAAATCCCCCCATAAATCCTCAAATTCCCCAAATTCTACCCCAAAACTCCCCAAGTCCCCCCCAGACCCTCCAAACTCTCCCCCCAAAACTCAAATCCCTCCAAAACTCCCTAAATCCCTCCCAAAACTCCTCAAATCCCCCCAAAACCTTCCCAATTCCCTCCCAGAACTCCTCAAATTCCCCCATAAATCCTCAAACTCCCCAAATTCTACCCCAAAACTCCTCATGTCCCCCCAGACCCTCCAAATTCTCCCCCCAAAACTCAAATCCCCCCAAAACTCCCCAAACTCCCTCCCAAAACTCACCAAATCCCCCCAAAACTCCCCCAAAACTCCTCAGATCACCCCATAAATCCTCAAATTCCCCAAATTCTACCCCAAAACTCCTCATGTCCCCCCCAGACCCTCCAAATTCTTCCCCCAAAACTCCTCAAACCCCCCCAAAACTCCCCAAATTCCCTCCCAGAACTCCTCAAATCCCCCCAAAACTCCCCCAAATCCCTCCCAAAACTCCTCAAATCCCCCCATAAATCCTCCAAATTCTCCCCCCAAAACTCCTCAAATCCCCCCAAAATTCCCCAAATCCCCCCTCAAATCCTCCAAATTCCCTCCCAAACCTCCTCAAATCCCCCCAAATCTCCCCCAAATCCCTCCCTGAAACTACTCAAATCCCCCAAAATTTCCTCAAATTCCCCAAATTCTACCCCAAAACTCCTCATGTCCCCCCAGACCCTCCAAATTCTCCCCCCAAAACTACTCAAATCCCCCCAAAACCTTCCCAATTCCCTCCTAAACTCCTCAAATCCCCCCAAAACGTTCCAAATTCTCCTCCCAGAACTCCTCAAATCCCCCCAAAACTCCCCAAACTCCCTCCCAAAACTCCCCAAATCCCCTCCCAAAACTCCTCAAATCCCCCCAAAACGTTCCAAATTCTCCTCCCAGAACTCCTCAAATTCCCCCCAAAACTCCCCCCAAATCCCTCCCAAAACTCCTCAAATCCCCCCATAAATCCTCAAACTCCCCAAATTCTACCCCAAAACTCCTCATGTCCCCCCCAGACCCTCCAAATTCTCCCCCTAAAACTCCTCGAATCCCCCCAAAACCTTCCCAATTCCCCCCCAGAACTCCTCAAATTCCCCCCAAAACTCCCCCAAATCCCTCCCAAAACTCCCTAAATCCCCCCAAAACTGCCCAAATTCCCTCCCAAAACTCCCCAAATCCCCCCATGACTCCTCAAATTCCCTCCCAAAACTCCTCAAATCCCCCCAAAACGTTCCAAATTTCCCCCCAATCCCCGCGGTAAAAGGGGGCGATGCCGACCCAGGTGGGACTCGAACCCACAATCCCCAGCTCCGGAGGCTGATGCCTTGTCCATTAGGCCACTGGGCCGGGCGCGGGCCCGCGGCGCCGGGCGCCACCTGCGGGCGCTCCCGGGGACAGCGGGGACACGGGGGGGACACGGGGGGGATTGGGGACATCGAGGGGACACGGGGGGGACACGGGGGAGGATCGGGGACATTGGGGGGACAAGGGGAGGGACACGGAGGGGGGACATTGAGGGGACATTGGGGAGGCACAGGGGGACATTGGGGGGATATTGGGGATATTGGGGGGCATTGGGGACATTGGGGAGACACGGGGGGGACATTGAGAACATTGGGGGACAAGGCGAGGGACACGGGGGGGACATTGAGGGGACATTGGGGAGGCACAGAGGGACATTGGGGGGATATTGGGGGACATTGAGGACATTGGGGAGACACGGGGGGGACACGGGGGGACATTAAGGACATTGGGGGACAAGGGGAGGGACACGGCGGGGGACATTGAGGGGACATTGGGGGGATATTGGGGACATTGGGGGGACATTGGGGAGGCACAGGGGGACATTGGGGGATATTGGGGACATTGAGGACATTGGGGGGACAAGGGGGGGACAAGGGGGGGACACGGGGGGGACATTGGGAGACAGAGAGGACACGGAGAGGACACGGGGGGGACATTGAGGGGACATCGGGAACATCGGGAATATTGGGGGGCACAGGGGGACACGGGGGGACATTAGAGGGGACATTGAGGGGACATTGGGGACGTTTGGGAGGACACAGGGGGACACGGGGAGGGGCACGGGGGGGACATTGTGGGGGCATTTGGGATATTGGGGGGCATTGGGGACATTGGGGGACATTGGGGGGACACGGGGGGACAGAGGGGGGGACACGGGGGGGACACTGGGGGGACATTGGGGGCATTGAGGACATTGTGGGGGGGGACAGAGGGGGGACGTGGGGGTAACAGAGGTGGGGACATGGAGGGGATATTGGGGGGGATATGGGGGGGACATTGAGGGGACATTGGGGGGATATTGGGGACATTGAGGACATTGGGGGACATTGGGGGGACACGGGGGGGACATTGGGGACATGGGGGGGACATGGGAGGGACACGGGGGGGACACTGAGGGGACATTTGGGACATTTGGGGGACATTGGGGGGACATTGAGAACATGGGGAGACATGGGGGGGACACGGGGGGGACAGAACGGGGACACGGGGGGGACACTGAGGGAACACTGAGGGGACATTGGGGACATTGGGGATGTTGGGGGACATTGAGGGGACACGGGGTGGACATGTGGGGGACACAGGGGTGTCCAGAGGTTCCTGGGGGTGGCCCCAGTGACCTCAGGTGTCCCCGTGAGTGACCTGAGGTGTCCCCAGGTGTCCCCAGGTGTCCCCAGGTGTCCCGTGGTGCCCTGTGCTGACCCCTCTCTCTCTCTCCCTCTCTCTCTCTGTGTCTGTCCCGTGTCTGTTTGTCTGTCCCGGTGTATCCCGTGTCTGTCCCGTGTCTGTCTGCCTGTCCCGGTGTATCCCGTGTCTGTCTGTCTGTCCCATGTCTGTCTGTCTGTCCCGGTGTATCCCGTGTCTGTCTGTCTGTCCCGTGTCTGTCTGCCTGTCCTGGTGTATCCTGTGTCTGTCCCGTGTCTGTCTGTCTGTCCCGGTGTATCCCTCTGTCTGTCCCGTGTCTGTCTGCCTGTCCCGGTGTATCCTGTGTCTGTCCCATGTCTGTCTGTCTGTCCCGGTGTATCCCGTGTCTGTCTGTCTGTCCCGTGTCTGTCTATCCTGTGTCTGTCTCGTGTCTGTCCCGTGTCTACCCCATGTCTACCCCCTGTCTGTTTGTCTATCCTGTGTCTATCCCCGTGTATCCTGTGTCTGTCTGTCTGTCCCGTGTCTATCTCTCCCGGTGTATCCTGTGTCTATCCCGTGTCTATCCTGTGTCTATCCCATGTCTGTCTGTGTGTCTGCCTGTCCCGTGTCTGTCTGTCCCGTGTCTATCCCGTGTCTGTCTGTCCCGTGTCTATCCCGTGTCTGCCTGTCTGTCTGCCTGTCCCATGTCTGTCTATCGGGTGTCTGTCCTGTGTCTGTCTGTGTGTCTGTCCATCCCGTGTCTGTCTATCGGGTGTCTGTCCTGTGTCTCTCTATCCGGTGTCTATTGGGTGTCTGTCTGTCCCGTGTCTGTCCCGTGTCTGTGTATCTGTCCCGTGTCTATCGGGTGTCTATCCCGTGTCTGTCTATCCCGTGTCTGTCTGTGTGTCTGTCCATCCCGTGTCTGTCTATCGGGTGTCTGTCCGGTGTCTATTGGGTGTCTGTCTGTCCCGTGTCTGTCCGGTGTCTACCCCGTGTCTATCCCGTGTCTGTCTGTCCCGTGTTTATCCTGTGTCTATCCCATGTCTGTCCCATGTCTGTCTGTGTGTCTGCCTGTCCCGTGTCTGTCTATCGGGTGTCTGTCCCGTGTCTGTCTGTCCCGTGTGTGTCTGTCTGTCTATCCGGTGTCTGTCCCGTGTCTGTGTATCTGTCCCGTGTCTATCGGGTGTCTATCCGGTGTCTGTCTACCCGGTGTCTATCCCGCGTCTGTCTGTCCCGTGTCTGTCTGTCTATCCCGTGTCTGTCTATCCGGTGTCTGTCCGGTGTCTGTCCGTGTGTCCGTGTGTCGGCCGCAGGCTCCGGCCGCGCGCAGGCGCTGTTGCTGTCGGCAGGGGGCGCCGTTCACCGCCTGGCGGACGGGCTCGCGCTCGGCTCCGCCTTCGCCGCTTCCGGCAGCGCCGGGGCCGCCGCGGGGGCGGGGCTGGCCCTGCACGAGCTGCCCCGGGCACTGAGTAAGGGGCGGGGCCTCGGGGGAGGGGCGGGGTTATGGGAACGAAGGCGGGATTATGGGAATGGGGCGGGGTTATGGGAACGAAGGCGGGGTTATGGGAATGGGGCGGGGCTGGCCCCGCACGAGCTGCCCCAGGAGCTGAATAAGGGGCGGGGCTTCGGGGAAGGGGCGGGGTTATTGTATGGGGTCGGGGTTATTGGAATGGAGGCGGAGTTATGGGAATAGGGGCGGGGCTGGTGCTGCATGAGCTGCCGCGAGCGCGCAGTAAGGGGCGGGGTCTCTGGAGAGGGGGCGGGGCTTGTTCTAGAAGCTGCGGGGAGGCGGGGGGGGGTGTCAGTGTCACTGTCCCCGCAGGTGACACCTGGCGCTGTCCTGAGTTTGGGGACATTTCTCAGTGTGTCTGTCCCGTGTTTGGGGACAGTTCTGAGTGTGGCTGTCCCTCAGGTGACACCTGTCCCGTCTTTGGGGACAGTTCTGAGTGTGGCTGTCCCCGTGTTTGGGGACAGTTCTGAGTGTGGCTGTCCCTTAGGTGACACCTGGCGCTGTGCCCGTGTTTGGGGCCAGCTCTCAGTGTCGCTGTCCCCGCAGGTGACGCGCTGGTGCTGTCGCAGTCGGGGCTGGGCACTCGGCGCACGGTGGCCCTGGCGGCGGCCGCGGCGCTGCCGGTGGTGCCGGGGGTGGTGGCCGGGCTGGCCCTGGGGGCCGCCCCCGCCGCCCGCACCTGGCTCGCGGCCCTGGGAGGGGGCTTCCTGCTGCACCTGGCGCTGTGCCACATGGTGAGGGACATTGGGGACATCGGGGGGATTGGGGACACTCAGGGGGATTAGGGACATCGGGGGGATTGGGGCTTCCTGCTGCACCTGGCGCTGTGCCACATGGTGAGGGACATTGGGGACATCGGGGACATCGGGGGGATTGGGGACACTGGGGACACTCAGGGGGATCGGGGACACTGGGGACATCGGGAACATTGGGGCTTCCTGCTGCACCTGGCACTGTGCCACATGGTGAGGGACATCGGCGACATCAGGGACATCGCTGGGATTGGGGACACTCAGGGGGATTGGGGACATTGGGGACATTGGGGGATATTGGGGACATCAGGGGACACTGGGGCTTCCTGCTGCACCTGGCGCTGTGCCACATGGTGAAGGACATCGGGGACACTCAGGGGGATTGGGGACATTGAGGACATTGGGGACATTGGGGCTTCCTGCTGTACCTGGGGCTGTGCCACATGGTGAAGGACATTGGGGACACTCAGGGGGATTGGGGACACTGGGGACATTGGGGACACTGGGGCTTCCTGCTGCACCTGGTCCTGTGCCACATGGTGAGGGACATTGGGGACATTGGAGACATTGGGGCTTCCTGCTGCACCTGGCACTGTGTCAAATGGTGAGGGACATTGGGGACATCGGGGACATCGGGGGGATTGGGGCTTCCTGCTGCACCTGGCGCTGTGCCACATGGTGAGGGACATCGGGGACACTCAGGAGGATTGGGGACATTGGGGACACTGGGGCTTCCTGCTGCACCTGGTCCTGTGCCACATGGTGAGGGACACGGGGACATCGGGGACATTGGGGGACACGGGGACATTGGGGACACTGGGGACATTGGGGGACTTTGAGGACATTGGGAACATTGGGGCTTCCTGCTGCACCTGGCACTGTGTCACATGGTGAAGGACATTGGGGACACTGGGGACACGGGGACATTGGGTACACTCAGGGGGATTGGGGACACTGGGGACATTGGGGACATTGGGGACATTGGGGACACTGGGGCTTCCTGCTGCACCTGGCGCTGTGCCACATGGTGGGGGACATTGGGGGACATTGGGGACATGGGGACACAGTGGCATCCAGGGGACATTGGGGACAGTGGGGTGACTCTCAGGTGTCCCACTGGTGCTTGTGGGTTCCTGCAGCTGTCCCACCTGGGTGTCCCCAGGTGACTCTCAGGTGTCCCCAGGTGACCCTCAGGTGTTCCACAGGTGACACTCAGGCGTCTCCAGGTGACTCTTGGGTGTCACCCAGGTGACTCTCAGGTGACACTCAGCTATCTCAGGTGTCCCCCAGCTGTCCCCCAGGTGACACTCAAGTATCTCAGGTGACACTCAGGTGACCCTCAGGTGTCCCCAGGTGTCACTCAGGTATCTCAGGTGACTCTCAGGTACCTCAGGTGACTGTCAGGTGTCCCCAGATGACTCTCAGGTGCCCCCAGGTGTCACTCAGGTGACCCTAAGGTGTCCCCAGGTGTCACTCAGGTACCCCAGGTGACTCTCAGGTGTCCCCAGGTGTCACTCAGGTGTCACTCAGGTACCCCAGGTGACTCTCAGGTGTCACTCAGGTACCCCAGGTGACTCTCAGGTGTCCCCAGGTGTCACTCAGATATCTCAGGTGTCCCCAGGTGTCACTCAGGTACCTCAGGTGACTCTCAGGTGTCCCCAGGTGACTCTCAGGTGACCCTCAGGTGTCCCCAGGTGTCACTCAGGTACCTCAGGTGCCACTCAGATGACTCTCAGGTGCCACTCAGGTGTCCCCAGGTGACTCTCAGGTGACACTCAAGTATCTCAGGTGACTCTCAGATGACCCTCAGGTATCACAGGTGACTGTCAGGTATCTCAGGTGCCACTCAGGTGACTCTCAGGTGCCACTCAGGTACCTCAGGTGACTCTCAGGTGTCCCCAGGTGTCACTCAGGTCCCCCAGGTGACTCTCAGGTGTCCCCCAGGTGCCGGCCATGCTGTCCATGCGCTCCCCCAGCCCCTGGGCGCTGCTGGGGCTGCAGAGTGCGGGGCTGCTCGGGGGCTGGGCGCTGCTGCTGCTGCTGGCCCTGAATGAGCAGGGGGACGAGCACTGACACACCTGGGCACACCTGGACACATCTGGAACACACCTCGATACACCTGGACACACCTGGAACATACCTGGACACATCTGGATACACCTGGATGGACCTGGAACACACCTGGGCACACCTGGAGGCACCTGGGCACACCCAAACACACCTGGAACAGCATCTGGAACATACCTGAAACAGCACCTGGACACACCTGGACCCACCTGAATGCACCTGGATGGACCTGGGACACACCTGGATACACCTGGACACACCTGGACCAGCACTTGGACACACCTGGATGGACGTCGAACACATCTGGACACACCTGGGCACACCTGGGGATGCCCCCCAAGACCCTGCCCAGCCCCAGGCTCAGCTCCTGGAACAGCACCTGGGTGCAGCTGGAACACACCTGGGCACAGCTGGAACACACCTGGATGGACGTGGAACACACCTGGACACACCTGGGGCCAGCTGGGGGCACCCTCAGACCCTCCCCGGGGGGGCAATGGGGCAATAAAGGTGGAAATGGAACTGGAGTCCTGGATCTGAGATGGGGCACTGGGAATGGACTGGGAGGGACTGGGAGGAACTGGGAGGATCTGGGGTGCAGCCCCTTTTGGGGAGGCTATAGGGTCCCTATGGGGGTCCAGCCCTTTTTGTGGGGTCCTGACTCCCTCCAGCCCCTCCCCATGGGGTCCAGCCCCTTTTTGGAGTGTCCAGGACCCCCAAATCCCCCCAAATTTCCCCCAAATCCCCCCAGAGGGTCGGTGGGGTTTTGGGGGGGTTCCCCGGGGGTCCCCGGTTCCGCTGGAGGACCCCGCGTCTCTATGGTCGGTGCGGGAGCGGCCAGAGCGGCCCCAGGAGCGCCGCTCTAGCGGCACTTCCGGCCCCACTTCCGGCATCTCTGTGGTGGCGGCGGCAGCGGCGGGAGCGGGACGGGCCCGCGTGGGAACGGTGAGGATGGGGCGCGAATTTTGGTGGATTTTGGGGATTTTGAGGGGGTTTTTGGGGGCGTTTGAGGGGGACTGAGGAGTGCAGGGGGCGGTGAAGGGAGATGGGGTGGCTGAGGGGAGTTTTAGCGGGTCCGTGAGGGGAAAATGGGGGGAATGAGGGGGAAGGCTTTAGGGATGCTTTGGGGGACGGGAGGGGGTTGAGGGAAAATTTGGGGGGTCCGTGAGGGGAAATGGGGAGGACTGAGGGGGGAAAATGGGGAGGGTCCTGTGAGGGGAAATTTAAGGGGGTCTGTGAGGGGGAAATGGGGGGGTCCTTTGGGGTAAGTTTGAGGGATCTGAGGGGAGTTTTAGGGCGTCCGTGAGGGGAAAAATGGGGAGCTCTGAGGGGAAATTTGGGGCGTCCGTGGGGGGGACTGAGGGGGGAACTTTTGGGGGGGGTCTGAGGGGGAAATTTGCGGGGCTCTTTAAAGTTCATAGGGAATAATTGGGGTTGAGGGGTCCGAGGGGAAATTTGGGGGGTCTGTGAGGGGGAAATGGGGGAGGCCGAGGGGAGGAAATGGGGAGGGTCCTGTGAGGGGTCCGAGCGGAGTTTTGGGGGTCCGTGAGGAGAAAATGAGGGGGAAGAGTTTAGGGGACACTTTGAGGGTGCCAAGGCATCCATGGGGATGATTTGGGGTGTTCTGAGAGGTCTGAGGGGAAATTTTGGGGGTGCATGAGGAGGAAATTGGGGGGAACTGAGGGGGGAAAATGGGGAGGGTCCCGTGAGGGGTCTGAGGGGGAATTTGGGGGGTGTGTGAGGGGAAAATGGGGGGGACTGAGGAGGGAGCTTTGGGGGGAGATTTGAGGGGTCCTTTGGGGGGTTCTGAGTGAAAATTTGAGGGGTCTGTGAGGGGAAAATGGGGGAAACTGAGGGGAGAGGTTTGAGGGGTCCTTTGGGGGAGAGTGAGGGGAAATTTTGGGGGGTGCATGAGGGGAAAATGGGGGAAAACTGAGGGGGGAAATTTTGGGGGACACTTTGAGGGTGTTGAGGGATCCATGGGGATGAGATTTGAGGGGGTCTGAGGGGAAATGGGGGGATTTTGTGAGGGGGAAATGGGGGGGACTGAGGAGGAAGGTTGGAGGCATCTTTTGGGGGTATCTGAGGAGAGATTTTGGGGGTGCATGAGAAAGCAATGAAAGGGACTGAGGGGGAAGGTTTGAGGGGTCCTTTGGGGTGGTGGAGGGAAAATTTGGGAGATCTGTGAGGAGAAATGGGGGAAAACTGAGGGGGAAACTTTGGGGGACACTTTGAGGGTGTTGAGGGATCCATGGGGATGAGATTTGGGGTGTTCTGAGAGGTCTGAGGGGAAATTTTGGGGGTGCATGAGGAGGAAATAGGGGGGAACTGAGGGGGGAAAATGGGGAGGGACCTGTGAGGGGTCTGAGGGGGAATTTGGGGGGTGTGTGAGGGGAAAATGGGGGGGACTGAGGGGAGAGGTTTGAGGGGTCCTTTGGGGGAGAGTGAGGGGAAATTTTGGGGGGTGCATGAGGGGAAAATGGGGAAAAACTGAGGGGGGAAATTTTGGGGGACACTTTGAGGGTGTTGAGGGATCCATGGGGATGAGATTTGGGGTGTTCTGAGAGGTCTGAGGGGAAATTTTGGGGGTGCATGAGGAGGAAATTGGGGGGAACTGAGGGAGGGAAAATGGGGAGGGTCCTGTGAGGGGTCTGAGGGGGAATTTGGGGAGTCCATGAGGGGAAAAGGGGGGGGGACTGAGGGGGGAGATTTTAGGAATCCTTTGGGGGGGTCTGAGGAAGGTTTTGGGGGGTCCATGAGGGGAAAATGGGGGTGCTGAGAGGGGAGGTCTGGGGGTTACTTTGGGGGGGTCTGAGGGGAAATTTGGGGACTCTTTGGGGTTCATGGGGTTAATTTGGGTTGAGGGGTTTTGAGGGGTCTGAGGGGGAATTTGGGGGGTCCGTGAGGGGAAAATGGTGGGGACTGAGGGGGGAAATGGGGAGGGTCCTGTGAGGGGTCTGAGGGGAAATTTGGGGGGTCTGTGAGGGGGAAATGGGGGAACTGAGGGGAAAAAGTTTGGGGGACACTTTGAGGGTGTTGAGGGATCCATGGGGATGAGATTTGGGGTGTTCTGAGAGGTCTGAGGGGAAATTTTGGGGGTGCATGAGGAGGAAATTGGGGGGAACTGAGGGGGGAAAATGGGGAGGGTCCCGTGAGGGGTCTGAGGGGGAATTTGGGGGGTGTGTGAGGGGAAAATGGGGGGGACTGAGGGGAGAGGTTTGAGGGGTCCTTTGGGGGAGAGTGAGGGGAAATTTTGGGGGGTGCATGAGGGGAAAATGGGGGAAAACTGAGGGGGGAAATTTTGGGGGACACTTTGAGGGTGTTGAGGGATCCATGGGGATGAGATTTGAGGGGATCTGAGGGGAAATGGGGGGATTTTGTGAGGGGGAAATGGGGGGGACTGAGGAGGAAGGTTGGAGGCATCTTTTGGGGGTATCTGAGGAGAGATTTTGGGGGTGCATGAGAAAGCAATGAAAGGGACTGAGGGGGAAGGTTTGAGGGCGTCCTTTGGGGTGGTGGAGGGAAAATTTGGGAGATCTGAGGGGAAAATGGGGGAAAACTGAGGGGGGAAATTTTGGGGGACACTTTGAGGGTGTTGAGGGATCCATGGGGATGAGATTTGGGGTGTTCTGAGAGGTCTGAGGGGAAATTTTGGGGGTGCATGAGGAGGAAATAGGGGGGAACTGAGGGGGGAAAATGGGGAGGGTCCTGTGAGGGGTCTGAGGGGGAATTTGGGGGGTGCATGAGGGGGAAATGGGGGGGACTGAGGGGGGAGATTATAGGAATCCTTTGGGGGGGGGTTCTGAGGAAGGTTTTGGGGGGGTCCCTGAGGGGAAAATGGGGGGACTGAGAGGGGAGGTCTGGGGGTTCCTTTGGGGGGGTCTGAGGGGAAAATTTGGGGACTCTTTGGGGTTCATGGGGTTAATTTGGGGTTGAGGGGTTTTGAGGGGTCTGAGGGGAAATTTGGGGGGTCTGTGAGGGGGAAATGGGGGAACTGAGGGGGAAACTTTGGGGGACACATTGAGGGTGTTGAGGGATCCATGAGGATGAGATTTGGGATGTTCTGAGAGGTCTGAGGGGAAATTTGAGGGATCTGTGAGGGGAAAGGGGAAATCTGGGGGGTGCACGAGGGAGAAATGGGGGGCATTGAGGGGGAACCTTTGGGGGGTTCCTTTGGGAGGGCTCTGAGGGGAAATTTTGGGGCTCTGTGAGGGGAAAATGGGGGGACTGAGGGGGGAGGTTTTAGGGGTCTGAGGAGAAATTTCGGGGCTCCCTGAAGGGAAAATGGGGGGTGAGGTGTTAGGGATCATTTCAGGGAATAGCTGAGAAGCCTGAGGGGAAATTTTCGGGCTTCCCATTTTTCCCCAATTCCCCATTTCTCACCCCAATTCCCATTTCTCACCCCAATTCCCATTTCTCCCCCAATTCCCATTTCTCACCCCAGTTCCCCATTTTTCCCCCAATTCCCCATTTCTCCCCCCAATTCCCATTTCTCACCCCAATTCCCCATTTTTTTCCCCATTTCTCACCCCAATTCCCCATTTCTCCCCCCAATTCCCCATTTCTCACCCCAATTCCCCATTTCTCCTCCCAATTCCCCATTTCTCCTCCCAATTCCCCATTTCTCCCCCCAATTCCCCATTTCTCCCCCCAATTCCCCATTTCTCCCCCCAATTCCCATTTCTCACCCCAATCCCCATTTCTCACCCCCAATCCCCATTTCTCACCCCAATTCCCCATTTTTCCCCCAATTCCCATTTCTCACCCCAATTCCCCATTTTTTTTCCCCATTTCTCACCCCAATTCCCCATTTTTTCCCCCATTTCTCCCCCCAATTCCCCATTTCTCCCCCCAATTCCCCATTTTTCCCCATTTCTTCCCCATTTCTCCCCCCAATCCCCCATTTCTCACCCCAATCCCCATTTCTCCCCCCAATTCCCCATTTCTGCCCCCAATTCCCATTTCTCCCCCAATTCCCATTTCTCACCCCAGTTCCCCATTTTTTC